CACATACCATGTACATGTACATGTACGTTTCCTTCCTCAACTTGGTTTTACTTATTGTTCAGGGTCGTAGACTGGAATGCCAGTTAGCTTTTGTGATGGAAATGAGACATTTGCTGTATTGTTTTGTGAGTGAATTATCTTATGTAGTCAAATGTGCAGTAGTCTTTTTTGAGCAGTGAAAATTTGTTTATTCCTGTCTTTGTGCAAAACAAATCATGATATTCTTGCAATAGGGATTTTCACGAGAATGTGAAACACACAAATGTGAAGCCAGCGTTGAGCTAAACGTCATCCTGATGGTCCTTAGCTTACAAAAGTTTTTAAAGCCAGATACACAAACTTTAAAATCAGGTGCACTGTGATTTTATTCTGTCACAGCAACACATTGCTTAACCGAAAGTCCAATTGATGTTTGAATAGTGTAGAATATCTATTTTAAAAACTATTTGCACTTTTGGCTTTATCATGTGTGTCCTTGCAAACATCCATTGCAAATATATATGTGAGGTACGTGTATATCTTCTGTAAAATCCCTACATGAAATGTTTTCAACGGTTTATGTTGCACTCTATGTTGGCAACACACGGTGCGGCATCTCCATGTGAGACTACGACATGCACAAGTATCGAACATTGGCTACGGCTCTCCACCGCTGCCTCTTTTGATCAAAATTTGAAGCCGTATCGCAGGAGGCGGGACTGGATTATGGCTACCCCTGTTATGCACCACCCCATAAAATGCCATGTATAACTAAATTGATACACCGGCAGTGCTGGGTGCACGTACAGTACGTGAATTACAATTTCTCAATCAGCTCTTTCCATCTTTCCGATCCTTCAAAGCCTTTTGAGAATCGGCAAACAGGCTCCTCAACTCATATTTTCTTGCCATTTTTTCATTTTGCATGTTTAATGACTGTTAAGTGCATTCATTTCAGCTAGAGCACAAGCCGCTGATGAATTGTTGCTTATAGGACGACCAGCTTCTTGGCATTTCTTGATGACGGCCACTGTTGTTAAGGTGATTGTACTGTGATCTCTTACTGTAGCCTTCTTGGTAAAACGTGAGTGATTCTTTGTTATTGGTCATCCCAAAGGTAGGATTCACTGATTGAGTCTCCTGTGAACTCATTCCCTCATGTCCTGTAGACCTAGTACATTAAGACCTACCCCACCTTACTGTCTTATAATATAGCGCGTGTAAACAAAGTGTGACTTCATTATGTCTATTTAAGGATCATCTTTGGTGAATACATTTATTTTGCCCAAATCCCGGGTGACATGTATATGGGGAGCTATTAAAGTTAAAATTGTCCCCCAAATCCTCTGATTTTATTATGATTTCACAAGCACCCTTGGAGGTTACGGTTAATACTGTTTATAATTTGGGAATGTTTTCTGCACAGACTTTGATCTCCTGTATTGGCCTTTAGTCGGACCGAGAGAGAACACTATTTCCTTGGCATCAGAGGCTACTTTGGTACTGTGCATCACTGGTTCACGAACGACTATGACATGGTAGTAGACCCATTGCTACCAACAAAATGAATACTCCCAACCAACACGGCTCTTTTCAACCAATTAAGTTGTGCTTCTACTCAAGGCAGATTGAAGTGATTGCTTGGCTGAAAAAACAGGTGGGATTGTTTAAATATAACCCTAGATCAAGACTCCTTGTTTTGCAGGCTTGCATCTGTAGATGGTTGAAAACAAATCTTAAGAACTGAAAAAAAGTAGAGGGATGTAATATGTTAAATCACTACTTACAGGCTTGAGGAAAAGGACTTTTTGGGAAGTGTACGTGTGTTTAAGGTGTTTTGAAAAATAAAATACACTAGCTAGTCAAACAACAATTGAAAAAAAATGGAAAAATGACAACTAAGAAGATAATAAGATTTATATGAGAAACCCCAGTGATGTGGGCTTGTATATTATTTGGCCCCGATCTTTGTTGATTTGACACTGCTTTCAATGATGCTTCAATTACTGTTGTAAAGTGCAGTCTATATTTTGAATTTGTGGCCTCCACGTGTGTGTGTAGTAATACAGATTGGAACTGAAACATGGTTTACTTAGTTTACCAAGTTTCAGTAGTTTGACAGAGAGACAAGAGCAAGCTAGTCCCTGGATGCCTTTCTCTGGAGTGTAACAAATCAGAGATATCTTATCACTGGTGACACTACTCAACAGGTATGGAAACAGTCTACATCACATACTGATATTAGTCCATGGTAATGGTAATAATGAAATGCCTGGTTGTTCTGTAGATCTTGACCCTGGGTTTTGTCTTTTTTAAGTTTTTCAACTAATGAGAATCTCCTGACTTTAAGTTTGGGTTGAATTAAACTACAAAAAATGGATGGAATTATTTGGTATGGTTGTACAATTTGTGCCAAAGTGAGCAGAAACAAGACAGAAGCTGCATCTACAGGCTGCTTGTAGTGAATGAGGTGTGTACTGAGAGGAAATGTCCTCATTCCTGGATCCAAATCACGTACAAGGATGAGTGTACATATTCCACAGGGATCATTTAAAAAAGTCTGGACTTGTTTTGTTTTATCAGCCAACTTTTTACTCACTGAAGCCATCTTTCAGCGTCAAATACATTAAAGTTGCAATGCATCAGGTTGTTACAATATGGCATGCTAGCCCACAGTTGGTACATTCTTTGTCAATCCTCCACTGCCAGCTTATAATCAGTGAATCCAGGCTAATACACTCATGCTGTCATTTCTTCCTTTTACATGTTTTAATGACTGTTTTGTGTATCCATTTCAGTCAGAGCACAAGCCACTCATGGTACATCCAGTTTCTTGATTATGGAGTTCCTGTGCTTGTTGTTGAGGTGATTGATACTTTGATCTCTTGCTGTTGCCTTCTGGGTAAAAGGTGAGTGGGTCCATCATTGTTGGTCATTCCAAAGGTATAATTCACTGATTGAGTCTCCTGTGAACTTATTCCATACTTTTTTGNCTCAATCAGGTCTCTCCATCTTTCCGATCCTTCAAAGCCCTCTGTGAATCGGCAAACAGGCTCCTCCACTCCTATTTTCTTGCCGTTTTTTCATTTTGTATGTTTAATGACTGTTATGTGCGTTCATTTCAGCCAGAGCACAAGCCACTGATAAGTCATTGCTTTCAGGATGACCAGCTTCTTAGCCAATGGCCATCTTGATGATGGCCAATGTTGTAGAGGTGATTGTACTGTGATCTCTTGCTGTAGCTTTCTAAGTAAAATGTTAGTGATTCTTTGTTATTGGTCATTCCAAAGGTATGATTCACTGATTGAGTCTCCTGTGAACTTGTTCCCTCATGTCCTATAGACCTAGTATATTAAGACCTACCCCACCTTACTGTATCGTATGTAAACCAAGTGTGACGTCATTATGTCTACATTGTATTTAGGGGTCATCCTTGCTGGATAAATTTATTTTGCCCAATTACTGGGTGACATATATATAGGGAGCCATAACATAGCTCAAATGGTCCCCCAAATCCTAAGATTTCAATAAGATTTCACATAAACCCTTGGAGGATACAGCCAATACTGTTTATAATTTGGGAATTTTTCTGCACAGACCGTGATCTCCTGTATTGGCCTTTAGTTGGACCGAGAGAGAACACCATTTTCTTGGCATCAGATGCTCCTTTGGTAATAACTGTGCATCATTGTTCATGAACAACTAGGACATGCAAGAGGTGCAGCCCCATTACTACCAACAAAATGAATACTCCCAACCAACATGGCGCTTTTCAACCAATTAAGTTGTGCTTCTACTCAAGGCAGATTGAAGAGATTGTTTGGCTGAAAAATTAGGTGGGATTGTTTAAATATAGCCCCAGATCAACACTTTTTGTTTTGCGGTCTTGCATCTGTAGATGGTTGAAAACAGATCTGAAGACCTGCAGAAAGTAGATAGATGTAATTTGTTAAACCACTGCTGACAAGTCTGAGGAAAAGGCCCTTCCTTTCAATGATGTTTCAATTGATAGCAAAGTGCAATCTACATTTGGAAATGGTGGCCTCCATGAGTGTGTAGTAATACAGCTTGGAATTAAAACATGGTTTATTTAGTTTCCCTAGTTTCAGTAGTTTGACAGAGAAACAAGAACAAGCTAGTCCCCGGAGGCCGTTTTCTGGAGAGTAACAAATCAGAGATATCTTATCACTGGCGACACTACTCAACAGGTATGGAAACAGTCTACATCATATTCTGATATTAGTCCATGGTTATGGTAATAGTGAAATGCCTGGTTGTCCTGTAGATCTTGACCTTGGGTTTTGTCTTTTAAGTTTTGAACTAATGAGAATCTCCAGCCTTTAAGGTTGGATTGAATTAAACCACAAAAAATGGATGGAATTTTTGGTATGGTTGTACAATTTGTGCCAAAGTGAACAGAAGCAAGACAGAAGCTGCATTTACAGGCTGCTTGTA